AGTATTATATAATCATACTAGCGATCTGGAGATATGCCTATATTTCTTCTCACCCATAGTCTAAGTCAGAATTGTTAGATTTTTAATTATTCTTGCATCTCTTAGCTAGTAGCCACTCCATACATATTACCATATTTCAATAATGGTTCTGCACTTAACGTTTTGTTGATAAAGTGGTATATTTATGCAAAAATTTGTATTTTAGATGTGACATTGAAACATTGGGTAAAAAAATACGGCTGGAGGGATGATGGCAACCTTATCTTCATCGCCAATCAAGATGAAAATATTAAAACCAAAAATATTACAGAAAAAATTGAATTTGATCATCTTGCTCCTCTTATGACTATACTGTAAAATGTAAAATTTTTTGAATTCATGGAAATAAACATCAAGAACTGGTTTTATTTTTTGTTTTTAAATATTAAATTCTTCTAAAATCTAAAGTGTTAATCATTAGTTATTGGTTTACAATACTTCAGTGAAAGAATGTATTAAAGTTTTGAAACAAAAGTTTTTGTTTTTAAATAAAATTACTGTGCACATAAAATATAACAGACTATATAAGTATCATTAATGGGCAAAGGACATGTTTCTGACAAAGTTATGAAGCAAGCCAACCCTTGCAGCAATACGACTGCAATCCAATGCTATGAAATTCTTAATATGGATTGTCCATCTTTTTTTTTTTTTTTTATAGGATAGGATGACAAACGAGCACACAGTCCACCTGATGGTAAGTGGTTGCTGCGGCCCATAGACATCTACATCTATCTTCCATTACAAATCAAAATGCAGATGCGTTGTCACCCGTGAGGACTGAGATGGAATGCCTCATTTCCAGTAAAAAGGGTCTCCGGTTCTCTACACTCACCATACGAAATACAGCAGCATTAAGCTACTATTTCACGCTGGTATTCTGTGAGAGCGTGGTCCTTCCCCAGTCGAGCCGACCCATTCGTGCTACAACTATACTACTAATATAATTGCAGCATGGCTCTACCACGTATAAACTGAAATCTGAAAATAACTAACTAACATATTAAAGTTTTGGATAGCAGTTGAAAAACCGTGCTCAGCTGTATTTTATACAAGTATATAGGCTGTAATAGCAGATACAAAAAGTTAAATGTAAGAAATTTTTTTAACAAATTTATAAAATTCATTTTCAGTGTTTTTCAATGGATTTTTTTGTAAGATTCACCGCATGTTACTTTAAGTTTGAATTTGGAAAGACTCCCTTTTTTACACCCTTTTTTAGACACCCACCGATGGAGTTAAAAATATTGCAAAACAAGACAACAAGAACGAAAGATTCAAATTTCATGCAAATTATGCTATACTTTTAAATGCTAGTAATATGCATGCCATTTTATTCTGCCCCGACGCCATGTTTCTGCTAGTCGCTCCGGGAAGTAGGACGTGGTTTCCGCGGCATTTTATAAAACAACGTGGTAAATAGTTGTATAAAACAAAGAAAAACACTTCCCAACAAAAAAAGAAACCCAAAAAAAACCTCCCAAACCCCCCAAAAAATTTTGTTTTTGTACATCCGGTTCCCTATCACTTTTATTTGTGAGTTTTAGTCAGAATATAGCTTCTTTTGTTATTATATTGTCTGTATACTAAGTTTTATAAAGTGATAGCCAGATAAAATGAAGATGTTTCCCCGCGCGAGTAAAGATCGAATAAATATTAACCGATTTTTACCCCTTACATATATGGCAGTGGTTGTCAAACTTTCATTTATCGCGTTAGTGTCGAAACTGTTAATATGCTGCTAACTAAAGTTTTGTTATAACATTTCGCTTTATTAAGGGTTAACACCATAGCTTTATATTAACTCAATGGCTTTCAACAACTGATAATTACAAAACTTATTAGATATATGTACCTATATATTTTGTGAGATGATATATTTGCACTGGTTTATGCTGTGATGCACTCAGTGCCGCGCCGCATTTATCTCATTAGATAAAGTTTAGAAAATTCAGTTGCACGGGAAATTTTCAACCCACGTTTCTTTTCCTAGTCTAGTCAACTTTGCTTTACTTTTTCCGAATTCATGTCCATATTTTAATTCTAATTAACTCTACAAATAGGCTCATGCCTGCTCTTTGACACACATACACACACACACACATACACAAATCTGCACACAAAGTAATCTATCAATTAACTACTTTACCTAGCAACAACCTGCTTCCTTATATGCCGCTTTGCTAAAATACTTACATCTTCCTCTACTCCTGCATTGCCCCAGGGCATTTAGCCAGTCCTTACTGTTAAATTGTATTTAAAAAATCTAGAATTTTTAAATAAAATTTTCTTTCACAGTAAAAAAATCAAATGCATATCTATAAAATAGTATATTGGGTAATTCCATCTTGTGCCATAACGAAGTTTGAGATCCACAAAATTATTATTTTTATATCAGAGATGAGATCGGATGCCACGAAACACAAACTATATATATAGATATATATATATATATATATATATATATATATATATATATATATATATATATATATATATATATATATATATATATATATATATATATGAGTGGCTTTAAATTTAAGTCCTGTCCTTAACCCTTCATAGAAAATTCTTCATCATAAAATATAAAAGAAGTATGCGTTGTCTACGCACACGTTGAGTTTACAAAAACAAAAGAGCTAATTACTCTTAGATTATTCTTAAAGCTAAATTACGTTTAACCATTAACGATTTGCGCCATTTTCCAGATATCTGACGTAAGGAAAATTATGTTTTTGCCAGACTCTTTCAACTAGTTGAAAATCCGTCCGATATAACCTCAACGCACTTTATGTTCCATAAACATTACAGAAATCAAGCTTTCTTTGTAAGATGTTCCAATCAAAACTTTTTCTTTTAAAGTAACTATAAACACTGGCTAAATGCTTTAGATTTTAGAGAAAATCGGTGGACTACTTGGGCCAAAACATACTACATAAAGAAAATACAACAATCAATTTATCCATTTACTTTACGTAATTTACGTTACGTGATATACAGTTTACATTGTAATGCCTTACTTCGAGTCGAGTCAGTGTTGAGTCTTTATGGTGGGATATGGCCCTCACAGTGCCGTACACGCAACGCCACAAAACGCATTTGGTTAATTTTTTGAAATAACACAGCACTTACAAACTTTATCGTTATTTATTTATTGACAACAATATCTTATATAAGTAACAATAAAGTAAATCAATAATACTTATTATAAAAACGACGACTTGATTGACAAAACGAAGTAAAAAGCAGGGATTGAATAAGTTTACCGGTATGTAGCGGTTCTGATAGTAGGACCAGAACCAATACTCAAATCTAAATGAACCCCGTTCGCTACCTTTATTATACAGGTAAATGAGATAAACAAGTACTTGCTTGATTTCATTGAGCGACAGTTATAACATGATATTTTTTGTCCTATGTTACGATCGAAGTTATAACAAAAAAAAAAATAACATAAACTAAATGCCACGAAGGCCTTTCTTGTTTAATGTGTGAATGCCTTTCGACTAGTAACCTGAAAAATTTCCGTATTTTGGAGCTGGTATATTTAAACCGAAAGAATCTAATCGGAACAACCGAAAAGTGGAACCCTTTTTAAAACCTAAATATCAAACGGAACTGCTTTTCAAAAAGTATAAAACAATAATAAGTATAAGATCATTATGCTTTCTTTCCGTGACTATAGCCATGTTCTTTTCCGCCTTCGTGGCCGCCCTTCTTCCCGTAATCGTGGTGATGGGCATGATGTTCTTCGTGGCCATGTTGTCCTTTGTGACCCTTGTGATCCTCGTCATAATGTCCTTTATCGTGATGTCCTTTCTTGCCGTGATGTTTCTCGTGATGGCCCTTTTCATGATGTCCACCTTTCTTGTGGTGCCCGTCCTTCTTATCATGATGCCCATGGAAATCTCCATGCTTGTGATGGTGACCACCCTTATGGAAGTCATCATAGAACTTATGTTCCTTGTGGTATTCGTCTTTGTGAGATTTGTGATGGTAGCCGGTGGTCTTGGAGCCTTTCTTGTGCCCTTTCTTATGGCCAAATTTACCACCTTTATGACCGTGTGCGGCTTCATGATGTTCACCATGGTGATCGTGCTCATCGTGGTGTTTCTTCTTATGTCCTCCGTGTTCATCGTGATGACCCTCATGGTGATGCTTCTCTTTGTGACCGTGTTCACCTTTATCATGATGATGATGCGACTTATAACCTTTATCTCCCTTTTCTTCGTTTTCTTTGTGATGATGTGCATGGTGCTCGTGACCGCCGCCTGATTCCTGATGGCTGCTTTTAGCTTCTTCCTTTACGGTTCCTGCAGGTGTCTGGTCAGCGTTCTTTTCGCCTAAAGCTGCAGCATTATTAAGCGCTAATTGTTCGATTTCTCTGCCTTCGGTATCGAGAAGGCCGACATTTCTAGCTTTTGATGATGCCAGTGTCCATGTTAGCAGCACCATCCATATTAGCACCCTCATTTCTACGATAAATATAACCACTCATTAATTACGATTTTTAGGAGTATTAATAAATAAAGGTGGAATTAATTTAATCAAGTATTTTTATTAAGTTAATGTGGTAAAAAATGTTTCCACTTACCAAGAGCCGCGATTTGTTGCTGTGTTACGAGAGCTGTGGTATAAATGTTTCCGCACTTTGAATTTATAGATAACAATACTTTCATCTCTGGTTGATTACAACGTAGTCTTTGGCAATCATATTGCTGCAGATTTCTGGATGAGTGATTCTGCGCAGGCATGATGACGACATCATTTTACGGTTCCAAATGACTGTACGTTTAAGCACTTGGTTGGTTGTTATATTTAAATTAATGTTGGAATTTGTTAAATAATTTAAGAATTATAGTAAAATCTTTTATTAAAAATTTAACATTTGTTTATCTATAACGAGATTATTGTAGCATAACAAAAATAAAACAAGGAATATCTTAAAATTAATAATATCAGTGCTTGCCGTGGTGGAATCCCCAATGTTTATGATCTTCATGGCCGCCTTTCTTCCCATGATCATGGTGATGATGATGGTGTTCCTCGTGCCCATGATGGCCTTTGTGTCCTTTGTGATCCTCATCATAATGGTGCTTATCATGGTGACCCTTTTTGCCGTGATGATGCTCATGATGTCCAGAATGATGGTGACCGCCTTTCTTGTGATGTCCTCCATGTTTCTCGTGGTGTCCGTGATGATCACCGTGCTTATGGTGTTTGCCTTCTTTGTGATGGTCGTCGTAGAAGTGGTGGTCTTTGTGATACTCGTCCTTGTGATATTTCTTATGGTATCCTTCGGTTTCTTCACCCTTGTCGTGGTGCTTCTTGTGATGGTGTTTGCCACCCTTGTGATGATGCCCGTGCTCGTGATGTTTCCCGTGGTGATCGTGTTCATCCCAGTGCTTCTTATGTCCGCCGCCGTGCTCATGATGATGTCCTGCGTGATGATGTTTATGATGCTCGCCATGATCACCTTTGTGGTGGTGGTGGTGTCCTTTGTGTCCCTTGTGTCCTTTCTCACCATGCTCATGGTGATGGTCAGCGTGGTACTCTTTTCCGCCACCTTCTTCATGGTGATGGCCTTCGTGGTGACTCGCTGCCGTTATTAAGTCGTTTTCTTTCTGGCCAATTTCGCGGCCGGAAGAAACGACGAAAAGACATCCCAAAAGGGCAAGGGCGACTAGCGTCCTCATTTTAATAACTTAGTTTTAAAAACCAGTCCAAGTTAAAGGTTTGGATATTGAGACTGTACTGATTGAACAACGGCTCTTGAGACCATTTTATATGGTAGTAGCCAGTGAAACTGCCGGGCAAGGACGCCACGGCGAATGTTACGCCTATAGCCTCTAACCGTTGCGTCATTCGATCGGGTTAGAGGGCTTGGAAGGTTTTCTTGGAAGATGTTTTTAACATAATTTTAAGACTTGATTAAAGTCATTCGATAGAGCGACGTTCTTTCTTAGATACCTATACAGTTTATACATTACCTTTATGTATATTATCAACTACAACTACTGCTTAACGTAGGCCTCACTCATAAATGGCATCATCAAGCAAGCTTGGCGGGCGGGTTGGACCCCGTTTTTTTTAATCATTTGGCCACTTAACGGGAAGATGCTGCTGCTCAGCTCCCTGTTTTAGTTTTCCTCTGTCGCCTATTAAAAAATATAGTATATTAATAATTTATATTGAGAGAGGAGGCCTGTGCCCAGCTGTGAGACGTATATAGGCTGTAAAGTTTTATATTAATTTTGTTTATAGAATAGGGTTACAATTGAGCACACAGCCCACCTGATAAGTGGTTGCTGTGGCCCATAGTCATCTACATCTATCCTCAATTACGAAATAAAATGCAGATGCGTTGTCACCCGTGAGGACTAAGATGGAATGCCTCGTTTCCAGTAAAAAGGGTCTCCGGTTCTCTACACTCACCATACGAAATATAGCACCATTAAGCTACTATTTCACGCTGGTATTCTGTGAGAGCGTGGTCCCTCCCCGGTCGAGCCGACCCATTCGTGCTACAACTATACTTCTAATATAACTGCAGCCTTCCGCCGTCTACCACGTATCAATTTAATATGATATTAATATTTTCATCATCATTCATCATTACAGCCCTTCACAAGTCCACTGCTCTCCATTGCTCCCCCAAGGAATGCTACAAACAGTCTTGAGCCACCTGCATCCATCGGCTTGCTCCATGTCTTACTAGGTTGTCACTCCATCTAGTGGGGGGTCGCCTTAAAGTTCGCCTACCGGTACGAGGCTGCCACTCAAGAACATATTAATAAAATGTAGAGATAACGAACCTGGCTTCGCTTCAATAAGTTAGGCTTCATGAAAACTTTCCCGACCTCTTTTAATACAGTGATTTAAATCTGACTCTAAACAAAATGGCCCACCGGAAGTAGTAGCCGTAAGTATAATTGTATATTTTTCATATATATATTATTAAGCACATGTATGCAGAGCCGTGGTAGCTCAGATGGTTAACGCTCGCTGTAAATATAACAGAACGCGAGTAACCCAGGTTCGATCCCCGCCGGCACTGAAAATGCCGGCAATGAAATTGTTAATTACAATTTTAAGTGTTGATTTACCACGTGCTCGGCGGTGAAGGAAAACATCGTGATGAAACCTGCATGTCTGAGGGATAAGAAAAAAATAATAATTCGAAGACATGTGAAGTTCGCCAACACGAATTGGGGCAGCGCGGCGGACACTTCCTTGCGCTAAAACCGCCCAGAAATGAGAGGAGGCCTGTGCCCAGCAGTGGGACGTATATAGGCTGTAACTTTACTTTACTTACTTAAGCACATGCAGATGTAATTGCAATCTTTGTTTGACGACCACAAAGCATACCTACCGATCTAAGTACTTAGCTACTTCACAACGAGGCCTGACCTCGAACTCAGGCGGAACAAACTGGTGGTTTGATTCTAAGTTTATTACTCAAAGAATTGACAAAATTAAACGGCGCCGTGGCGCAGTGGCTTAGCAATGAGTTGCAGCACTAGGGGCCGCGGGTTCGAATCCCGCACGAAATAAGTATTTGTATGGTCTACAAATAATTGTTCCGGTTCTGCATGTTTGTCCTTGTGAAATTTATGTATGTGAACTGTCCCCACGATACAGGATAAAATCCTAATGTGAAGGTAACGTTTCAAAAAAAAAAAAGTAAGAAAAGAATAATAAAAAATAAGTACTTCGAAGAGCAATTATTATATAGGAAACTGCTCTAATTATTTGGATAAAATATTGTATTAAGATAATGTTCAAGTTTATATCTAGATCGACTCGGTTTCATCCTTAAGAAAATTTAAAGCGATGGAAGTAAAATTATTATTTCAGAAAATATATTTACAAATTATTATCTGAATTTGTTTTCTCATTATGATAATCTGTAAAAAGTGATTTGTTGAGTTCTAATGTGTTTAACAGAAAATAGACAGCAAATCTAGATTGCTGAATCTTTACGTTTCTATTGTCCTATTTGCGTAAAATTTTTGAGAAAGTTTTAGGAATGAACGATCGGCTTTTGCTACAGATGCTGTCAATCAAATACGTAATACAAGCGCAAGGCGTAAAATAAACCATACATTAGGCGGATAAGATGGGGAAAGTAAGCTACTCGTATGTTCAGATGTAGTAATTTCCTTGACGTTGCGCTGTTTATTTAATCGGGTTTAACTATAAAAGCTATATGAGATAGAAATGCTTGACTGTATCCTAAATCCTATTTCACACACACAAAGTAAGGAATAAATTTTGATGTGAAACATCTATAGCAGCGGGTCAGACCGACTGTTGTCGTGGCAAGGCGTCGCCACGTTATAGATACCTTGATAATGTTATCCAACACTTTTGTAACATACTTCAATTATCATCGACCAATTGTCACAGTAATCCATCAGAGGCAACATCGAATACAACTATTACAGAAGTCACTGATTAAAATTGTCGAGTTATCTCAATTTAAAAAAAATTGTTGAATTTTTAATGAATACAAATGTTTATTAAATAAACAGTCATCTTTTTCTTAAAAAAATCTTAATATTTTATTTTTCATTATGCCGTATTTGTTTCCTGTCGTAATCTATCCTTATGCATATTACCTATACAAAATAATTTAGATGTTTCAAATCTGCAACGTATCCCGTGACGGCTCCTGCGACCTGCAGTCAATTTTGCAAAACAAAGATGAACAAAGATATTATTATTATTATTACCTATTCGGGCGCACTCTTAGGCAGAGAAAGCGCTCCCGTTATTTATTGAAGTAAGGGCGACTAAGGGCGAAAAAATCCTCTGCGCCCCCGCCCGAATCCCGAATTAGTAGGAGTTCCTAACTCTTACTTTTTATTTATTAGTGGGACTAGGTCAACTCGTGGTAGAGCCACGCTGCAGCTATATTACGGTTGTAGCACGAATGGGTCGGCTCGTCCGGGGAAGGACCACGCTCTCACAAAATACCAGGGTAAATAGCAATTTAATGGTGAGTGTAGAGATTCGGAGACCCTTTTCTACTGGAAAGAGCCATTCCATCTTAATCCTCAGGGGTGAAAACGCATCTGCGTTTTGATTCTTAACCGAAGATAAATGTAGATGTCTATGAGTCACAGCATCCACTTACCATAAGATGGTCTGTGTGCTCGTTTGTCACCCTTAGTCTATATTAAAAAAAAACACCAATTCTGCTCCCCTGCGAGCAGTTTGGCGAATGGAGCTGGAGGAGAGTGCAGGTCATGATGATCCCCAGAGCAACTCTGCGGAGTTCTTCATTCAAGTGGTTGCCGCCTGTTATTTGGCCTGGTTCTATAGGAAACTGATAGAACAGAAATACTCAGACGATCCTCCCTTCTCCTTCCACCCCCTTTTCCTATCTTAACCCAATTTAAGGTGTCAGGTGTACCGTGACGATGGAAGCATGGCTGGAGGGGAGTCCTATAAAACGGTGCCTACCCGAGACTAAGGCGATTTGGGATTTTAGCCCTTGCTCCAGCATGCGTGGCTCCGTGGAGTTGACCGTTTATTTCCCTAGCTACTCGTGGCAACAAAGTGCGCAGTAAAGAATGACATTTTGAAACGCATTCTCCTTTAATGGAACGAAAAAAAGAAGCCTGAGATCTTTTTAGCACAATATAGTCGCCTGTTACGATATTCACAGCACAGTACGAAATGCTGTGATGGAATCTTTTACAACGCTATCACACAGCACAGGAAAACTAGTTTATTTAAGTTAAATTGGGATAAGGCCGTAGCTTAATGAATGTTAAGATTAGTTTTCTGGTCAATGCTTTCAATAATTTTGAAGAGCTGATAAACAGAAGAGCACATAAAATAATGACATCGGTATTAACCAAGACTACCGGGGATTAATGCTGGAAAGTTCAGCACACAACACAGTTCCCGTTTTCTTCCTCAATATTTATTGCCTCTTCTGAAATACTAAATAGTAGTAGTAGATACTAAATATTTTTTCAAATCTATGTCAAAGGCAAATATGCAACGTCTCTCTTGATTTTGTATCCCTGGCAGGAAGAAGTTTAGATGCTGTTTGGTGAAAATTGCACTGAATGCAACGAAGGTAGTTTCCTATTTTGTTTGTTTAAGCTTGGGTCGGATACAGCTTGCTATATGTATGTTTATGTACGTGCTTTGATTACTGAAGGGCCACGTTAGTATAATTCTCTAAATAAGATAAAAAAAATTATTTTCGTTCCCAACTAAGTAGAAACTAAGTATTTTTACGTGGTAGAGTCATGCTGAAGTTATTTCAGTAGTATAGTTGTAGCACGAATGGGTCGGCTCGACAGGGGAACGACCACGCTCTCACAGAATACCAGCGTCTAATAGTAGCTTAATGCTGCTGTGTTTCGTGTGGTGAGTGTAGAGAACCGGAGACCCTTTTTACTGGAAATGAGGCATTCCATCGTAGTCCTCAAGGGTGACAACGCATCTGCATTTCTACTCGTAATTGAGGATAGATGTTTATGTCTATGGGCCACAGCAACCACTTACTATCAGGTAGACTGAGTGCTCGTTTGTCACCCTATCCTATAAAAAAAACAGAAAAAAATGTTCGAGAAAATTTTTGCGTTGTGTGGTCACACTAACCGGTTGTCCACATACGTGGGCTGCACTAAAAGTATCGGGAATGGAATATTTCCACTGTTCCTGTCATATTAAA